TACTTTAACAAAACGTGCAATGACCTAGAGTAAAAAAACAAAACAAAAAGGAAGAACACACTTAGCATATCAGGAAAAAATTCAAGCCTTGATTTGCAATATGATTGCAAAATTCTATGAGCAAAATATTGAACAATGCAGTAAGTATCAAAAGAAGATGGAAAGTGGGAACCCATCACAAGATTGGATATATATGCCCCCCCACCCTGAAGGGGATGAATAACAGAAATGTGGGTGAAGGGAGTCAATGGACAGGTAAGATACAAAATAATTAGAACAATATATAATTGACCAAGGATTCACAAGTGTGGGGGGTGGGGTGGGAGAGGGAGGGGAGGAAAAGGAGCTTATACCAAGGGCTCAAGTAGAAAAAATTTTGGAAATGATGATGGTAAAATATGTACAAATATGTTTGATACAACTGATGTCTGGAATGTTATAAGAGCTGTAAGAGCCCACAATAAACTGACTTAAAAAACAAACCCCCCAAAAAGAAGATGGAAAGAATACACAGATTCATTGTATCAAAAAGAACTAGTCAGCATTCAATTATTTCAAGAGGTACCATATGAACAAGAACCAATGATACTTAAGGAAGAAGTCTAAATAAACTACATTGAAAGCATTAGCTAAAAACAAGGCTCCAGGAATTGATAGAATATTGTTGTTAGGTACCATTAAGTCAGTTCTGATTCATAGGAACCCTATGTATAATAGAATGAAATACCACTCAGTCCTTCACCATCCTGACAATTGCTTATATTTGAGCCCACTGTTGCAGTCACTGTGTTAATCCCTCGTGTGAAGGACCTCCCTCTTTTTCACTGCCCCTCTACTTTAGTAAGCATGATGTCCTTCTCCAGGGTCTGGTATCTCCAAATAACATGTCCAAAGTACAGGAGATGAAGTCTCTCCAGCCTTGTCTGTAAGGAGCATTCTGGTTGTACTTCAAAAACATTTCTTTATTCTTTTGACAATTAATGGTACTTTCAATATTCTTAACCAGCACCATAATTAAAATGCACCAATTCTTCTTCAGTCTTCCTTTTCCATGTCCAACTTTCACATGCAGATGAGGCAAGTGAAAATACCACGGCTTGCATCAGGCACACCTTAGTTCTCAAAGTAAACCCCTTACTTCTCAACACTTTAAAGAGGTCTTGTACAGCAGATTTATCCAATGCCATGTGCCATGATCTCTCGACCGCTGCTTCCATGAGTATAATTGTGGATCTAAGCAAGATTAAATCCTTGGAGACTTCAATCTTTATGTTTCAGAAGAGCAGGAAAAGTTTCTATTTGTCATCCCAGTGGAACATATTCCAAGTCTCAGGATATCCCATTGCTTGGCTCAGTGACACCAATAAGAGTTCCAGTATCATCACTAATCTCCATTTTCCTTCATGTGAAGCCAACGGTTCTCTCATCTACACTTTTCCAGGGCCATGTTGTATTGATTAAAAAAAAAAAGGATATCTAGGAAAGAACTAGGAAACAAAGGGTATTTATAGAGGTCTAAATACAGACATGTACAATGTAAATATATTTATATAGGATGGTGGGGAAATAGATCTACATGCATATATTTATAGGGTTAGTATTAAGGCATCAGATGAACATTGGACCTCCACTCAAATACTTACTCAATGCAAGAACACTTTGTTCTATTAAATTGGCATTCCATGATGCACACCTTTCTGACACGATCACTGTGTGCATATGTGTGCATAAGCAAATGTGGTGCCCGGGTATCAAAAGATATAGTGTGCATAAGCAAATGTGGTGAAGAAAGCTGATGGTGCCCGGATATCAAAAGATATAGTGTCTGGGGTCTTAAAGGCTTGAAGATA